TAGATGCGGTTGTTTCCGACGATTAAATCCAACAGCTATTCCACCAGCGCTACATCCAACTTATGTATAACCAACATACACAGTAGCACAGAGTGTAGCATTATCATAATGTTATAAACGAGGAACGAAAAGTAGTAGTTTGTGGAAACGTGGTCCGTATTCGGGGCGGTCGGTAGCCTAGTGGTTAAAGTGTTCGCTCGTCACGCCGAAGCACAGGGTTCGATTCCCGACAAGGGTACAATGTGTAAAGCCCATTTCCGGTGTTCCCCGTCGTGATATTGCTGGGACATTGCTAAACGCGGCTTAAAACCATACTCACTCACAGTATATTTTATATTTGGCAAACACTGACCAAGGGACTCTTTTAATAAAGTACTTGCGGGGAGATCATTTAAAATACGTTGGATATTAAACGGTGGCAAGTGAACTTAGCTAAAAAAAATGAAGAATCTGTGAAGTATGTATCTCAAATTTAGATTTTTCTAAAAGCCGTGTAAAACAACACTCACTCACTCTCGTTATATATTCAGAGCTACAGATAAGCAGCGTATTTGCGTAAAATACCCCAAAAAATATTTCAAACCCAATTACTTTCAATTAACTTGCGTCCAGAAACGCATGCATTAAATGAAAAACTCATATGTATAAAAACAGCACGCGTAAATACCCAATGAAGCTTTTTCAGCATGCCTACAAAGGAGTTAATTTCCGAGACACAGTTACGAGCTAATTTACTTTCCGAGTAATCCCTAGTATATATTTAGAACAGTATATATATAATATTTTTTTTAAATCTTAAAATGTTCACTTTTATCACAATTTATCACAGAGTGATAAAAAGATGAGTGAAAAAATATTGGTCACCCAAATGAAAAAATGTAATAACCCAATTAAAATCGAAACCCTAGAGTAACAACTCAATTGCTCAAAGATTTATCTGGAACTCTGTATATGGCTTATGTTGCTGACAATGGAAATGAAATTACATACTAGTTGGGGACTGGCATAACTGGCACATCACAAACATATTTCCTCGGCTTAAATACGGGTCTGTTTATATGATATTGTAGTGGTGGAATTAAGTAGTCGGCGGTTTAGATATTTGCTTTGCAGACCATTGTGACGTCATTGTTACCTTGACGTCACAATCAAATGACATCACTAATGGCTCTGCTACTGAAGCTATTAGCAGTACTTTTTACACTAAAGACACTGCTTATCACTGTCTAAAAACTGAAAAAGTTTGAAGAATGATGCTGGATGATAAATAAAATCTCACCCTTGTGTCTTTTGATATCAAATATATCAACACTCGTCGATAAAGGCTTAAAACTTGCATCGACTCGTGTTGATATATTTGATATCAAAAGACACTTGGGTGAGATTTTCCATATATACAAATGTGGTAACTTATGGGAATGTTATAACATGCGACATTGAAAGTGTACTTAACTGAATCCGTCCACATGTATTTGAACTCTAAACAAGCGAAATGACGCTACACAAACCAACGGAATGTGTGAGATGTTCTCTTGCCTTGTAGGAGCTCGCCCTACACAAGTACTTCCGAAGTGCATACATATTCACATTCCCTATCGTCCAATAAGTAGGTCATCCAAGGTCGTGGGAACTTAACGCTTTTTGTTTCGATGCGTTAGAGGCCACTTCTTGCTTGTCCAACCGCAGCATAACTTAAATATTGCTTACGGCGGCTAATACCAAGCTCAGTCATATTACTGAAGAATATACCATCTGTAGCAACGTACAAACTAGTCATGTATGTACATTGTCATGTCACGTGATCAACCTTTCAAAGGCAGTTATTTAGACTACATTGTCCTAATAGGAAGGAATTCGCGAATGGCTCTGAGCAAAATCCAAACGAGCACTTTTTGATACCTGCCCGTATCAAACGCTAGAGGAAACACGGGTGGCCCAGTCGTCTAAGGTGCCGCAACTCGCTGTGCAGAGTTGCGTGCCTTATGTACGCCAGAAACCGATGATTGTGGGTTCAAATCCCGTTCGCCCGATTATAATTTGTAGGTTTGTAAGCACCATACCCGTGCTCGATGTATTTTTTACTTAAGTGGTAAACGTCTGCGACCACCATCACTTAGAGCTTCCTCTCACATTAAGCTGACACGCAGTGATATGACTGGAATATTTAAAGCGGCATTAAACCCAACTCACTCACACAAACGCGAGAACCACTGCATAAGCATCGCTATTGTCGATGACCCGAGTTAAGTATCGTCAACGTTATTGTCGCCCTTCACTATCAATATTATAGATATAAGAACAACTTCTTATAAATAATGTCCAATATTTTATACAGGGCCACGGAGTGAGTGAGTATGGTTTTACACCGCTTTAGGCAATATCAAGGGGTACACCATAAATGGGCTTCACACATTGTACCCATATGGGGAAACGAACCCGGGCTTTCGACATGACGTGTGAACGCATTAGCCACAGAGCGACACCACCGTCCCTCAGGTCCAAGGATATCGGTGCAACAGTAGTTATGAGCATTATAACTTCTGATTCATGCTCATTGGATTATTCACCCCAATTGATAAATTGTTTTCATTGTTTGAGGACCCGTGAAGATTCCGGGGTAGAATAGGTCTTCAACAACCCATGCTTGCCGTAAAAGGTGACTATGCTTGTCGTAAAAGGCTACTAATGGGATCGGGTGGTCAGGCTCGCTGACTTGGTTGATGCATGTCATCGATCCCAATTGCGTGGATCGATGCTCATGATATCAATCACTGGATTGTCTGGTCCAGACTCGATTGTTTACAGACCGCCGTCATATAGCTGGAATATTGCTGAGTGCGGCGTTAAACAACAAACCAACCAACCAACCATTGTTTGAGAAGAATCCAACGTAAATACGTGACGTCATATCAACAATATGTAAAGGTGACGTCAACCCTTGGTCACAGTGTCGGTTGTGTGACGTTCCAGCAATAGACCGACTGAGCTAATACCACCACTTGTGGTTCGGAAATCCACCTTTTTTAATTTCCCAATAAAAAAAGGCTGTAGGTATATATAATGAATAGACTAACCACCTGAGGGATTACGGAACATTTTACGAATCATCCGTCCCTCGTGGGTTAATGTTGAAAGTCCCCCTGCAACGCTCGGGGCTCACAATATTAAGCTCACATGTAGTCCGTGATTCCTACCCGTGAAAATTCCGGGGTAGTATAGGTCTTCAACAACCCATGCTTGCCGTAAAAGGTGACTAACGCGATCGGGTGGTCGGGCTCGCTGACTTGGTTGATACATGTTATCGATCCCAATTGCGTGGATCGATGCTCATGTTTCTATCACTGGACTGTCTGGTCCAGACTCGATTATTTACAGACCGCCGTCATATAGCTGGAATATTTTTGAGTGCGGCGTTAAACATCAAACCAACTAACCAACAAACCGTGATTCCTTGTAGCTTGTACGAGTAGGCTAGTCTCTACATAATACAAGAGACACGACACAAATGGAATGACTCATCACATTGCCGCAATACTAATTCAATTGTAATACCACGTGCTATGGCGTTTACAATTCCACTGCAAAGGTAAAATGTCCTCATACAGTCTCCCGGACAACAGCTCCACCGCCTTTCCTGCGTGATATCAGAGTGAGTGAGTCACTTTGGTTTGGCGCCGCTTTAAGAAGTGTTTCACTTAAATCGAAGCGTCGGATGTGGGAGGAAAATCCGAAGTGATGCAAGTCTCAGACGTGTATAAGTTTGGTGAAACCAGATATCACGGCTATTGTGCGGACAAACCGTGTTCAGGGCGAATCGGAAGAAGCAGAGCGAATCGGGTTTCACGGTCATTGAATATTGTGACCTAGTATATCGCCTGTCCCTATGCACAGGGGACGCAGCAGAATGTGTTTTTGTTACCCAGTCACTATCATACCCGTCAGGCAGATCCCCTTACAATAGATACAAAGAGCGTTCACCTGGGCAGAAACTTGGTTGGTTACGATGACAAGGCTGAGAGGTATATATAGACTCAAATCAAAATGGGCGTAGAGTACACAACTGTTAAATCTGCGTTAACATATCCCACCTTTTCTTGTAAACTTAAAACCGCCAATTTCTTCACTCCATATTTTTTAGTAGTTATATACATTATGAATAATTTCAAAGGTGTTAATATTTTAGACATTTCTTTAAACCACACAGGGATAAGAACGCTCGCTGACTTGGTTGAAGCATATCATCGATCCCAATCACGTGGATCGATGCTCATGATATAGATCACTGGATTGTCTGGTCCAGACTCGATAATTTACAGACCGCCGTCATATAGCTGAAATATTGCTGAGTGCGGCGCAAAACAACAGACAATCAAACCAACAGACAGGGCGATGAACGCATATTCAAATAAACACGAAAATTAACCACCTAAAATACAGACAAACAGGCAGATATCATGCGGTAATAAGTGTTAACCTATAAAGATATAATTTCACCAGAAATAGTCTTACGAAGAACGTCAATTTCGTCGAAAATGTTTGACATTTGATCGGTTCTGTTTAATAGTGTCTAAGGTGTGGAGCTAGTTATTACAAATCGAAATGTTGATCACATACCTATGATGGACCTGTGATTTGGGTCTTGCATCGCGCATCGTTACATGGGGTGCTAGATTGAACATGGGGAGGCCTGATCTGTACACGGTAACGAACGCTGACATTTAAAAGTGATTATGTCTAATTTAATCCGCTTAGTCTCGCTTAGATGAAATTGGCAGTGAGTCCTCTGACATTTGCCGACAGGAAATCGTACAACACACACACACGGTCCCGAGCAACACAACTTGACATGTATAAAAGGGGCATCTTTTTCAACACATATAATCTCTATTCAGAGTTCAGATCTTTAACAGACATGAATAGTGTGTCACCCCCGTGATAAAAGTTTCATGATTTAAAAAAAATATAACGTAGAGAGTTACACATTATGAACAACGCCTTACCTTATCACGGCTAGCCTCATGCAGACCTGTGGCAAGAAACACCTTGAACGGGTATCGCTGTTTACCGACTGATTCACTCGGAACTTATGCAAGCTAAGAGTCCGGGTGGTTCCGATTTCGCCCTCGGTCGTTCTCGGAAAACCAGTCAGCTCACAGTAATGACCTTTGGCGACACGGCAATGACGTATTTCAGTTGTGAATTTTAAGACGCGCATGAGGGAAGCTATATAATGCTCGCACTTGACTGGTGGGATATTATTGTTGTGTGCTTGAATTGGCTAAGGAACAATATGTCCGAGGAAGCCAACGACAAGGCGACCCCGCTCCCCTCCTCAAACTTGTTATGAATGACGCATTTTACATATTTACTCTCAGGGAACAGTTCAAGATCAAGGAGGGGCAGATATGCAAGTATAATATCCCACAAAATCAACTTTCCAAAGGGAATAAATACAACATTTAAAGCCACCGATATTCACTCTAGTCCACAAGCCCGAGACTAGTTAATTATGCTGAGGACAGGTGAAAATCTGATGGTGGTATTCATCTTTGAGTAGTAGTATTTGGGGGTTATATTTCCAAACCAGTTTCCAGTGCTTCAATGCTGCTGTTCAAGGACTAGCTTCAAGCTGTGAGGATAAGCGAGATTAGGTTTTCACTAGTCTTCAGGACTAGTCTTATTAAAACGATTTTCTAAGGCTGCCTCTATATTTTTGGAGTCTCATCCAAATCAAAAACATATATTTTTGCAAAGTGTTCAAGGCCTCTGTGTACACTAACTGTGGTCGGGTGTGATAGGCATGAAGCATGATGGGAGGGACTGCCTTTGTGACATATTTCAACAAGTACAGACACAAGACTACACAAGCGCTGTCCTTCATTTGTAGGCACTGTAGGTTGCTTGTGATATTTGTGAGACGCTCACTTTTTCAAGGTATATACAATGTGTTTTACTTCTCTGAATGAACGAGTCGAACATCCAGCATTTCGTTTGTACAGAAATATTTGTGTGTGCATACGATCAGGCTAAATAATCTCAGGATACTTCTCTGAGTGAAGTTCTGACAGCCTCTAACATTTGGCCGTCCAATCTAAATGAAGGATACAGGGTAGCCAATCATTTGTCAGCTTCTAAAAGGATTAGGCTCCATTTGGTTTGTCATGAGTCAACTCCTGTTTTCTATTTAAACACGTATAGAGTCTAAACACATGAAATGAGCTATCGCCTCTCAGCCTAAACACCACCTAAACACACCATCCCCATAATCTAAACATGTTTAAAATCAAAACACGTTTAAATCTGTTTACAATTTAAACACTTTTAACATTGAAACCTATTTCAAAAACGTGCATATAATTTATGCATTTAAGTAAAATACGGTTAAGATGTACGTATAATATATATTGAAATTAGATGCGCATGGTGATTCACAGGCACATGCATACCACATACTAGTATATCACCAGAACTTACAACAAACTAAAAACGTACAAATAGACAAATCACGATGAATGGTGTCTTGGAAATTAACCCTTGTGGGGGCAGCAGTCACCGTGGCACTGGTGTTAGCGTGAAAGGCTACAAAACAAGAGATTGCAGCTTCGTATCCCGCCAAGGTTTGAAATTTAGGTGTTCTTAAATTGGTTGCTGCTGTACGCCTAATGGTATTTCTCTCATATAGGAAGCTTACAATGAAAGTATATCTGATTAATACGCTAGGCCCTTAACCGTTTACAGTTACCCCCTCCCCAAATTGTTAATACATTCATAAGGCTACAAGTAGCTTTTACCTCCCCCTCCCCAACCCACCTACCCCCCCCCCCCCCCCCCCCCCCCCCCCCCCCACACACACACACACACACACACACACACACACACACACCATTACTGTATCCCCCTGAAACGCTAAAAAACAGAAAGCGCCCTTTCCTTCGAAGTACCTACACTTAATTTCAAGGGGGATATACAAGTTTTTTCCCAAATTTAGAACCCTAAAACACAATCCTAAACATGTTTAGACCTAAACATGTCAAAATAGTGAGACAAGGAACGTGTTTAACTTTGTGTTTGGGATCTAAATACTAGTACATGGTTTACAGTGTAGGATGTCACTCGTACTCGCCGAACAGACCACAATTCGCCTGTCCTCAAAATCACCAACAAGCTGCCTATCAAACAACGGATACAATTAAAAATTCTGCTTCTCGCCCATCACTGTATCGACGACAACACCTGCCCTCATTTGCGACATCTTATCAGTTAACATAAACCTAGTGGTTCTCTCCGTTCAGCATCTTCCCGTGGCAAGGGAGTTGACTGACTGTAAAAGTCCAGCTTCCACCCTTGCTGAACTAGGCATGGATTATGGAATTATATTTTGGCTGGGTTAACGAGTCTATGCATAGTCCAATCAAAATCGCGCACAGAAATCGACGTGTAGATTTCGGTCGACTGCACGATTTGCAAAGGATGTGTACCGTCGACTGGGCATCGACAGACATTTTCCAAATCTTTTCACGTGTTTAATCAAGGTGCTCACGTGATTTGATGCACTTCGCGAGGTAAGACCCGTTTTATTACGATATAGAACTTGGTCATCGATTAGATCGCCTTGACTGGGCCTTTTTGTATGACAAAAATGCAAGTAATATGATAGTTGGAATCTGGTTGGTCAATAGGAGGGGAAAAACAGGGACATAACTCGTAATCGCCACTGGTGGCACTACGATCGAGACCAGAAATTTTAGCCTAGTTCGGCAAGGGTGGAAACTGGACTTTTACAGTCAGTTAACTCCCTTGCCTTGGGAAGATGTCCGTTCTGTGGACCAGCACCTACTGACACTAAAACAGCAGATGACAATAAAACCGATCTCCCAAACGTATCACGGCAAAGGCCATGGTAACTTGATGCACGTGAGTTCCGTGCAAATTGAAATGCTGCGGAAACTGCTCGACAGACCATAGGGACACACCAGCGACACATTAGTGCGGACACCGTGCGTCGACGATTGACGAGCAGACACCTCCACTGTTACATGCCACACCGAGGACCCATTCTGACATCACGTCATCGCCGGGGCCGTCTTCAGTGGGCAACACAGCACCAACATTGGCGCCACCAGCAGTGGAGAAGAATCCTCTTTTTAGACGAGAGCCGTTACTGTATCTCAACAGCAGATGGCAGAGTGAGAGTCTGGCGACGCCGTTGGGAACGCTATTCGGATACTTGTGTTGTTGAGAGAGACGCGTGGGGTGGTCCGAGCATCATGGTGTGGGGTGGAATTGGTCTTGCACAGAGTGTCGGCCCTGTGGTCTGCCAGAACATCAGTCCAGGGAGAGGCAATGGTGTCACAGCAGCTCGGTACATTGATCAATCCTTGAGACCACACGCCATACCTCATTTGGCACGTCGCCGCATCCACGAGTTTCAGCATGATAACGCCCGTGCCCAGACTACGAGAGCAACAAGAGCTTCCTCCAGCAAAATGGCATCAGAACCATACAGTGGCCTGCCCTCAGTCCGGATTTAAGTCCCATTGAGCACCTGTGGGACGAGATTCAAAGACGGCTGAACGTCCGCCCAAGGCCGACAACTGCAGCTGAACTGCGTCAGGCGTTCCTCGGAGTGTGGGCTCAAGTACCTGTGTCCCTCATCAACCGCCTCATCCATTCCATGTATTGACGTTGCACGCCAGTAACCAATGCACATGGCGGACACACGAGATACTGACTTGTGATGCCATTTTCTCAGTGTGTTTCTCTTGTGTTTCACTTTAAGAACATCTGAGACTTTAATTTCAACCTTGATGATCAGTTTTGCTAAGTTTCACCAAGTTTTACTTTCTCAAAGTATGTTTACAGTGTTTGCACAAATAAGGTTTCTCATAATCTATACATGGTGACGTTTCTTTTGCGGTTCAGTATATAAACGATTGAGGGAAGAGCGAGGGTGGTGGGATATATTGTCTGACATGATTCTTCGTGTGAGAGTGTCAATACCCTGAATTTCTTGTTTCGTCCAGTCAGCAACACCAAAAGAATATGAAAGGACGGGTACAGCATAAATACACTCTTCAAAAAAAAAAAAGAAACGCACAGGTCATTCAATTGTCATTCAATTGTCAACATTGTTCAAGTTCGAAAATGGCGAGACGCAGCGCTGCAGATCGGAACATCGCCATAGGATGTATTCAAAGAGGGGAATCGCGGTCTTCTGTTGCTCGTCACTTCAACGTCCACCACAGCACCATTTGCCGCTTTTGTGACCGATACAAACAGTTCATTTCCACTGCAAACCGTTCGAGAACCGGCCGACCAAGAGTTACCACCCCTGCACAGGATCGCTACATTCGACTGTTCCACCTACGTCATCGCAATGTCACAGCTACGGAGACTGCAGGACGCATCCCTGGTTTGAGGAGGATATCGGACCAGACTGTCAGGAACCACCTTCGCGAGGCTGAAATCCGACCCAGAAGACCAGTTATTGTCCCTGTTTTGCAACAGATCCATCGTGCCATAAGGTGCCATACCTTACAGCCTTGGAATTAAAGAAACTGGAGATGAGTTTGGTTCAGCAATAATTCACGATTTCTTCTTCACCGGCGAGATGGAGGACAACGTGTTTATCGTCGTCGAAATGAGCGTTTTCCCCACATTGTGTACGTGATTTCGACAATATCGGTAGCGGTAGCGTCATGGTGTTGGGTGGCTTATCCTACACCACGAGATCTGACTTGGTTGTGGTTCAGGGTAATTTGACAGCAAATCGCTACATGAATCAAATTCTTCAACCTCACCTTCTTCCAATCATTGACCACCAGAGTTAGCTGTTTCAATAGGACAACGCTCCACCGCACACAGCTCGTATCACGGTAGACTCCCTTCATAATGCCAACATCAACGATTTACCCAGGCCGTCGAGATCTCCAGATCTCAACCCAATCGAACACCTCTGGGATGAACGCGATCGACGTGTACGTCAGCGTCAGAACAGTCCCTCAACTGGCCAACGCTTTACAAGCAGAAAGCCGCAGAATTCCGCAGGACAGAATTCGTTCACTAATCCAGTCAATGCCGAGGAGATGCAGAGCCGTGATTGCTGCCCGGGGCGGTCACACGAGGTACTGAGTTCAGCCATAACTTGTGGCCTTAT